CCCCCCCCCCCCCCCCCCACCATCTGTTCCCTCATCTTCCACTCCATCCTCTCTCAGACCCCCTCTTCCTTCCAGCCTCTGCTCCCCGTGTACCTCAGTACCCTTCATTCCGTCATCTCCTCCCCCTTTATCCTTGTCAACCCCTTCCCATTGCCCCCTCCTCCCCCCATCCCCTTCCACCCTCTCCTCCATCCCTCACCATCCCTCTCCTGCTCTGCCTCTTGAGGTGGGCGTGCATTCACCTCATCCCTTCACGTCATACCCTCTCTTTTCCCACCTCGTTCCTGCCTCCCACCCCCACCCCCTTCCTCCTTGGGGGCGTGTGATTCCCGCTCACCCCTCACTTCTCCCTCCTGCGCCGCCGCCTCTTTCCTTGGAGGGGTTTCGCCCTCAATATCTCCAACTCCTCCTCCTCCTCCTCCTCTTCATTTCTGGGGGTGGGGAGGAGGAGAGAGTGCACGGCAGAGGTGCTGGGGGGTCAGCCCCCCCCCCCCCCCCCAAAACGTCCCCCATTTTACCCCCCCGCCCCCCCCCCCCCCCCCCCCCCGGGGGAGCAGAAAGGCTAAAGTGTGTGTGTGTGTGTGTGTGTGTGCGTTGGGGGGGGTGGGGGGGTTGGGATAGTGGAGGGGGCGCGTGAGAGCCTGTGTCTTCGACCTCTCTGTGTGTCTCTCTCTCTGAGCCATGCCTAGCTCGGAGTTGCTGATGGAGCAGAGTGGCACCTTGGAGCTGGTGGTGGAGATGGAGATGGGCCTGGGCATGGGGAGGATGCTGGAGGACGAGCAGCGGGCATTGCAGTTGGCACTGGACCAGCTCTCCATGCTGGGGCTGAGCGAGGAGCAGGAGCAAGCAGAGCTGCTGGCGGATGGTGAGGAGGAAGAGAACGTCAACAACAACAACAACAACACTAGCGCCGGCAGTGGCCACCACCGCCACCAGCACCACCGGGAGAGCTACCTCGCTGCCCTGTACGAGGGTGGTGAAGCCAAAAGGAAGAGTTGCAACACCACCGAGTGTGTGCCGGTGCCCAGCTCGGAGCACGTGGCTGAGATCGTGGGCAGGCAAGGTGAGCGGGTTGGGGCGGAGGTGGGGGGGGCGGGTCACGAACCCCCGTGCTGCGAAACGCGAATGCTCGGGGGCGCGGAGGGCGTTCCCCGTCGGGTGATGTCTTGGGGGGTGGTGGGTGGTGGGGAAACGGTGTGCCAAGGCTGGACTCCAGCCGTCGGGTGGTGCCCATCGGAGTCCCGTCACCGCTCTTCGTTTCGCGGTGTGGTGGCACGTGTCTTCTAGGAACGGCCAATACCCAACCGGGCACCATCCCACCCCCCACCCCCCTCCCTCCCCCAAAGACCCCGACCAGCTCCGTCAGGAGATCGTTCAGTCAGTGATGGGGCGAGGAAGGAGAGAGTGGATGTTGGGAAGATGCTTCCATTGGTAGGAGAGTGTGGGACCCGAGGGCACAGCCTTAGAGTAAAGGGAAGACTTTTTAGAACGGAGATAAGGAGAAATTTCTTCAGCCAGAGAGAGGTGAATCTATGGAATTCACTGCCACAGAAGGCTGTGGAGGCCAGGTCATTGAGTACGTTTAAGACAGAGATAGATAGGTTCTTGATTGTCAAGGGTAACGGGGAGAAAGCAGGAGAATGGGGTTGAGGAACTTATCAGCCATGACTGAATGGCAGATCAGACTCGATGGGCCAAATGTCCTACCTTCTGCTCCTATGTCTTATGGTCTTACGATCTGCCGGGAGAGGGGCAGGGAGGGAATTCCAACTTCCGACCCTGATGTTTGAGAGTACGGCTGCCAATGGGTGGAGCGACGGCAATTCAACACTCTGTGAGGGGGCAACAGAGTCAGGGAGGGAGTGTTGGGGGCCGGAGGGGGCGACGGAGACAGGG